TCTTCGCTACCTAGACATCTCCTGGTTGTGGTCTTTTTCTTCCGGTTGAAGGTTATCTTTCTCTTGTTGCTCACTGTGATGCTGTTTGGGGTGGTTGCCCTACCACTCGGCGGTCCACTACTGGTTACTTCATCACTTAGGGTTCTTCTCCAGTGTCTTGGCGCACGAAGAAGCAGAAGGTGGCTGGCCGGTCTTCTGCAGAGGCTAAATATCAGGCTATGGCTAGCACAGTTAGCGAGATTCTCTGGCTACACTGGTTACTCCGTGATTTGGGTGTTGTTCTCCGTGCTCCTACTTCGCTCTACTGCGACTATCAGGTATCCTTGTACACTGCTGCTAATCTTGTTTTCCATAAGTGCACCAAGCAGTGGCAAAGCCACGTTGTTGCCAGGAGGGGCTATAGCCCCCCCCCCCTTTTCAACTCTCAAAATTTTGTAAATTTACATTTAAAATTCACAGCAAATTTGGATAATAGAGTAGGTGGTAAGGCTTTAGCCCCCCCCCCCTCGCCGGTTCACCCCTTTGAACGTAAATTTTTTTAGCCCCCACTCATTCAGATTCCTGGCTCCGCCACTGGCACTAGGGATGGCAATGGGTAGGGTCGGGTGCGGGTTTACCCTATACCAACTCCTAACCCGCCGGGTAGAGCTTTCTAAAATACCCGACCAAATAACCACCGGATATGAAAATTATATAACCATACCCTACCCACCGGGTAACCACGGGTATTCGGGTAACCATGGGTACGAATCCTAAACTATGAACTTATACACATATATGCACATATATACTATTGTCCATTAAAAATTCTCAATACTTGTAACTGTTCTAGGCTTCTAGCTTCAACAATCCACACAAATAAAAACAGCAAACACATAATAGTTGTTCTTGCTTCTACAATCCACACAAACATAATAATCGTCTACATCTTCATCATCAATAATGATAGCTAAACTCAATTTCTCAAGGGAAATTGACCCTTTGGTTAGCGGGGCGGGTATAACGGGGCGGGTATTATTGATTACCATACCCGTACCCTACCCTTTATTTTGAAACCGGGTATTACCCGTACCCGCCCCTTAACCCGTCAAAGCGGGTAATTACCCTCGTTGACCGGTTACGGTCGGGTAGGGTACCCATGGTTACGGGTTGGATTGACATCCCTAACTGGCACCAAGCATGTCGAGATGGACTGTTACTTTGTTCGTGAACGTGTCCACTCACGTGATGTATCTCCTCTCAAGATTGCATCATCATACCAGCCAGCTGACCTCTTCACCAAGAGTTTGAGCGTTGATCAATTCCATCATCTCCAGGTCAAGCTCGGACTCCTTGACATCCATTCCTTCACTTGAGGGGGTGTGTTGTGAAGTCACGAGTCATCTCTCGACCTCACTTGTGACTCATTCTCTCGGGCTGGTTCATGTTATTTGTGGTCCATTTATTTTTCATGTTCCGTACGTGACTTGTAGAAGGGAATTAGGTTAGCTTCACTTGCTTTTGTATTTAAGTCGAGTTTATTGTTGACGGCTGTAGCTTGTGTAACTGACTCACTCCTACTGTCACTCTAGAAAATGGCCAAGTGTAACCACTTCCTAAAGCGTAGTATAGCGGGTTTGGGTTTTAATGTCAACCCGGGTCCTAGATGTGATGACTACTCAGTGAATTTGTATTATCTAGCAATGAAACTTTAGTGAAGATCTAAACTAACAAGCAAGCAAAGCAACTAAACGGTTGTTTTCAGGTTAAGAGAGGTCACCCGGATATGGTTCCCCCTAGACTGCAGTTAAGCCGGATTGTAATTACCAAGTTCAATTTCTATGATAGTTATACTGCGGAAGGTTCTCAAACATCTGAAGTCTCGACTAAAGGTCTTCAGACCCTCTCAATCTGAGTCTCTAGCGGGCGACTAACCTCCACCGGAGTAAACAGATTGAGGCCCTAACGAATCAAACCTCCACTACTGAATGGAATTCGGTACAGAATAACGAATTGGCTCCTCGACTAAAGTCACCAATTCGCTACCTTCAATTAAGGATGCTCTATCAACCTAGGCAGATATTCTCATTCTAGGTTAAAGCAGAAACAACAGGAATTTGATCAGGATTCATGCCATTCAATCATTCAAACCTCAATCGAATATAATCAAATCATAGAAACAGTACTTGGGTTCATACAATCAATCCTAACATACAGATCTAGGGTTTCCCACACCCAGATCAATGGGAGAACTACTCCATGGAGAAAGAAGCAAAAGCAGAATCAGATGCGGAAACCATACTGTGAATGATGGATTTCAGCTCCTGGACGTTGATCGGCACTCTTCCAAGCTCAAGCCAAGCTCCAATGGTGATGAAGATCAAGCTAGGGCACTTGGAGACTCTTGTTCGTTGCTTTCTCTCTCTAGGAATCGCTCTGTCTCTCTAAAACTCGAATCCCCCTCTTTTGGCTGAAAATCTGCCTAAAAAACCAGAATTTCCCGACTCACACGGGCAGGCCACACGGCCGTGTGGCTCACCACTTTGCCCGTGCGAGTCGAAACGCAGCGTACCATTAAGTCGATCTTCAGCCATCTCACACGGCCAGGGTTGCACGGCCGTGTGAATTTCCTGGGATGCCCGTGCTTGGCCTCGGCAAAAATCACACAGCCACAAGTGCAACTTGCACGGCCGTGTGATACCCAGGGTTGCCCGTGCGGCTTCCTTAGAACCTCGCCATGCGTCCGATCTTCGTCCAATCGACCCCAAACTCGCTCCCAAGCCTCCATTCACGTACTAGGACCTGAAATATCACAAACAAGCACAACCTAGCGTGAAATCGGCCTAAAACACAAGAATCAACACCTCAAACGGTGTAAGAATAGGGGTAAAAACATGTGTAAATAACGGTCTATCAAACTCCCCCACACTTAACCGTTTGCTTGTCCCCAAGCAAACCAAGTCAGACACCAGGTAAGCTTACATATTTCAATCAACCAACATTGGGGACAAGTCATAAAGGCACCGGACACGTGAATCGTACTGGTTTTCAAACATCAACACATGAACAACCTCAATAACAACCTGGACAACCACCACAAAGGACATTCGAGTGCAGCAAATCGAGTAAAGGAAGAATCTCCCTTCTGTTCACCAACCAACCTAGACTTGACTCAACCACTCACTCAAAACAGTCAACTCATGCATCCAACTCAAGACATCAGAACAAAGACCGAGCAATCTAGGTCCTCACCGGGGTACAAGAGTATAAAGAATATGAAAATGAATCACTCACTCTCGACCTGTGGGGTCAAGACGATTTGATGCGAAAAATGCGCATGCTATTTCTCTCAATCCCTATCGTCTCTTCACCATGATGGCAGCCTCTAAATGCTAGAGTTCACATATGGAGTGTCACCACTAACTAATCCGGAGGTCTTAGACACAGGTTCAAATGTTTGGCTAGGGTCTTGGACATGGGGAAAAGGCCTTTTAGGTGGTGGAAGCATTCATAAAACATAAGGTTCCACATTTCCAACCCACACAATCACAGTCAAACAAACCGGTATTTCCTTTCTGCTATTCTGCAATACTCAACATCTCAAGAGCGCAAAAGCGAAGGAGGTATAAACATCAGCACTTCCAAGCCAGACTGCTCAGAAACACTACTTACTGGGCATTATTCAGATTTTTTTGGTAGTGGTTCTCTTTTGCTTCCAATTTTTTCTTTGTTTTTCTTTCATTTTCTTTCCATTTCTTAAGAGAGCCACCACTTCTGCACATATTTCAAACACCTGCCCAACTTTTAAGCACTACCTCCAACACTCACATCAACTTTAGCAGAAACAGCAGAGAATATGTAAAAATCACTCTGTGGAACCTTCTAAAAGATGCCAAAGGGTGATTTTTTCGTTATAGACCAAAAAGAAAGGATAACACACGGCTCAAAGGGACTGACTAGAGGATATGACACATCAGGACAGTCGGTTTGGTCGTGGGCTAATCCTATGCCCCCATCATCTTAGCTAGTGACAATGTGAATGCTACACATCATGGAAGAGGGATCTATCGCACAAGAAAGAAACGAGCAGGCTCAAATCTCACATGGCTACCTATATGCTCTATCTCACATTCTGATTCCCTGAACTAGATGCATAAATGACTGTCAAAAGCAAGTGATCAAATTCAAGTCGCAGTTGGTA